ATCATTTTATTTTTGAATTTTTTGGGAGTAATTCTCATATAGGGCAAAAATTACGTGCTTACAATTATATCTCTAGAAAATGTGTCTACTCTTCCCATTGAAAGATTTATTTTCTTACAATAGTTATTGTACTTTGGCAATCACAATTCATCGATATAATTATTGTCAGTTTAATTCACCAAGAGGTTGCTTAATCAACCTCACTTCTAGGCAATTTAATACCATAACACCCACCAAAAGGTGATCACACAATCACTATTGAGCTTTTCTCATTTGAATAAAAAATTCAATATCATCACTATATCCTTCTAACAACACACAACCCAGTAGAATTTCACTAGTGGGGTCTAGGGAGGGTAGAGTGTACGCAGACCTTACCCCTACCCCAGAGGGGGTAGAGAGGCTATTTTCCGGAGATCCTCGGCTCAGATACAATCTATGACAACAAAATCTGAAAAATAATATCAGAAACGTGGGAGACAATGAATAAATGGAAAAACAGTAACACAAATATTATGCAAAGGTATGAAACAAAACATAAATCGCTAGCAGTGCTAGACAAAACACTATCATACTCATCGGTACAAAGAGGGAAATCGGGACGAAGAGGAAAACTGCTCGACTACCCTTTAACCTACAACCCTAATGCTCGACCTCCACACCTTCCTATCAAGAGCCATGTCCTCGGAAATCTGGAGTCGCGCTATGTCCTGTCAGATCACCTCGCCCCAATACTTCTTAGATCGCCCTCTACCTCTTCTCGTACCTGCCAAAACCAACCGCTCACACCTCCTAACCGGGGCATCTAGGCTTCTCCTCTGCACGTGTCCGAACCATCTAAGTTGCTCTTCCTGCATCTTGTCATCCACCGGAGCCACGCCCACCCTCTCATGAATATCTTTATTCCTAATCTTATTCAGCCTAGTGTGCCCACACATCCATTTCAACATCCTCATTTCTGCTACTTTCATCTTCTGGAAATGTGAATTCTTGACTGGTCAACACTCAACCCCATACAACATGGCCGGTCTGACCACCGCTCTATAGAACTTACCTTTGAGTTTTGGTGGCACATTCTTGTCACACAGGACTCCAGACGCTAACCTTCATTTCATCTACCCACCCCAATACGGTGCGTAACATCTCCGTCGATCTCCCCATCTCCCTGGATAATATACTCTAAGTACTTAAAACTTTCTCTCTTGAGGATGACTTGTGAGTCAAGCCTGACTTCCACATCCCCTTCCCCTGTCATGTCGCTTAACTTATATTCCACATATCCTTCTAATACAGTGGAATATTCACATACAAAATACTAAATCATAGTAAGTAAGGCATAAAATCATCTCAAATGAAATGAAACTTGACTTCTATACAAGTGCCTTTTGAAACATCTTTCAACACATATAAGAATTTATTTTCTTTTGGTATCTTCCATTCTCAAATACCAAGGTAAAATTTTCTAAACATAAAAGCAACTTAACTTCTACAAAAATATCGCAAGTTAGTAGGAAAGGAGTCATAATTCAATAATTTCTTCACCCAAATTACTAAAAGACCCAAAACAAAATAATTTTTCACAGCCAGAAATACAACTCATTTTTATCTTCCAATATAAATTTCTGCAACAACAAATCTCAATTTTGTTAGGCTTCATTATAATAATTTTAATAAATATTTTTCCTCATTATTTTCCTTATGATCAGGCTACATAATTATTGGCAATACATTCTCGACCCCCACACTTTCAAAAAATTTACGTTAAGGGGATAATCTATTTATAGCTTAGGAGTTCTACTTTATAAATAACAATCTAATAATATAACTTTATTCCAAAGATCATCAGATTGACCATGCAATTCATTATTTATTCTCATGATCTCAGGCAACATAAATAAACGGTACTTTTGACACTAGAAAATTTTACGACTACCGAAATAATGAATACCACAATCCAGGGAACTACAAAAGCAGCTCCAAGACTTACGAAATTAAAATGTTGTCTTTCACAATGCAACATATATACACAGTAACAAACTACAAATCCATGCATATTAGCAACTAATATATAACTATATATATTCTAAAATTGGAAGGACATCATATGTATCATCTATCATATGTATCATCTTGAGGCCAAAGTTCATCTACCTATTTTATTCCCAAGAATAAGCAGGAAATAACATAAATTTAGGAGGTATTAGTCCAATTACGCGTACCTTATAGTTAAATGTTATGTCACATAAAACATGTCAAGTGGAACAAGCTACCATGTTTAAAGTCTACCAGAATCCAATTTTAAGGTCCAAAAGTACGAATACAACAGCAACAATGCAGAAAACGTCAACGTGAATAATATACTTAGTTCGTATTCTTCCTAAGAATAAAGTGGTAAATTAGCATCAACAACAACATTAGTAGCATTATTCCCCATAATAACGTGGAAATATCCTTAAGATTGTTAGAAAAATTGGTTACGGAAAATATGAATTAGCTTGAGATGTGTCAAGAAAACTGTCCTTAAGGATATTTCGCCCACACAATGATCAATAAAATTAGGCGTATCCCTCAGGATTCAACAAGCTCTTTCAGTTATTAAACTGGGAACAGAACTAACAGAAGACTCAAGAAAGAAACCCAACATATAGAAGGAAGAAGATGATTCAGAAAGTTGCATTAGAAAGTGTATCTTTAGCTCTTCAAGACCATGTTTATATAGGTGTTGCTCCAACGGCTAGTAACGACTAGCTTGGCTCTATTAATTGTAACATAACTTACTAAATAATAAGTAGATGTAAATAATATTTCAAAGAAAAAAAAATTTCCAAACCAAGATGGACATTACCTTTTGAGATATCACTAATTTTCCAACAATACCAAATACCAAAAACTTCGGTTTCTGTATGATAATTCAGTATTTACCAAATTATGCACAACCCTATTTAAATCTATCTCAATCCTTCATTATATATAATAAAATAAAAGTAAAAACATAATTTAAGCAATATGTAAATGTGTCTGTGTGTATAATAGTAAAAATATATTAGAAGTTCTCCATAGGTTAATTGGCCTATAAATTTATGATAAGGCAAAAAGATTCATATTAAAACATAGAACCAAAGTAAAAACTTATTATACGACTAAAACATACTTTAATGACCAAAAAACAAAATAGAATCCATTGCAAGACAATCCATTTTGCTTGAGCTGCAATCTAATTATAATCACATCATTACACAAAATATAGCAATTTTTCAATAAGGATAAACAGCTGCAAAATTCGTTTACTCGTATGAGTATTTCTTTTAACTTTGTGAGGAGAAAAAGAGAGGAGAAAAGTACCTATAGAAGTAAATAGAAACAACAAAATTTATAAGTTATAGCAGCACATATTACTTTATAAAATAAGAAGAACAAAAAAGAACAAATTGCACCTCATCAAAACCAAAGACATCAAACACTATTCACCATAATTTTCAGATGGCTTTAACTATTTTACCACCTGCAACTTGGCCCCATTTGCCCAGCCACGAGAAAGGGCAGCCCGGTGCACTAAGCTCCCGCTATGCGCGGGTTCAGGGAAGGACCAGACCACAAGGTCTATCATACGCAGCCTTACCGTATATTAGGTTGTTCCTACGGCTCGAACCCGTGACCTCCTGATCGCATGACAGTAACTTTACCGGTTACGCAAAGACTCCCCTTCTTCCCCAGCCACAAGCTCAAACCTAATATATAAATCTCCTTATGACGTGATATTCTCTACTGTGTCTCATCTATCAGAAAGTTTTAGCACCCTTCATACCATTGTACTTAAGCCCAACTCACAGACTCAAAAGACCAGTCCTTTCTGATATTGTCTAATCATCCAATTATGAATGAATTAATTCATAGTTCTAATTATCAATCCAACTAGGAACCGGAACCGTTGCAGTGAACTATAGCTGAAGAATAAGCAGTGCATTACTCGAAGCAATTAGTATATAAGACTAGACTATCAATAAGTAGAAGAGAGAGGAGGAGGGGGGAATGAAACAAGCAAGCTCAAAGCTTTGGTAAATACATTTTGAAACCAAAAAACTGGCGAGTAATAGATAAACTAACAAGAATAAGAGGTTGTAACATGATAACGGAAAAAAGGAAAAGTGTCTTCGATCATATAAAAGCAAATACTAAGTAAGTAGTTTTGGAGAGATCAAACTTTCTGTAAAAGCGAATCCATTCTGAAAGCTATTAGCTCGAGGCCTCAATCCAAATGGTCCTCTGGACGTCCTAACTGACTGCCCGTCAAAACCCCTGCACCAGAATAGGACTTCACCATCCGCAAACCTATATTTTGGTACGACTTTATATATCCGGGATCTCCTACAGTAAACAATGCATCCCAAGATTTATTGCCACCATAGTCTTTCAATACCCATAACTTAAAAGTGTTCTCCCGCAAAAAATCATAAGTAGAATAAACACAAAGCATTTCTTCCAATACTGAAACGCAAATATTATGCAAAAATATTTCTGGCAATGGTATCTCTCCGTATACTTCATTTGAAATAATAAATGAAACAACAAAATAATTTCTCGAAATACCGACCCAATGAAATGCCCCATGTACAAATGCCAAAGAATGCGTACCAAACAACTCGTTGTGAATGTCACGAGGATGTTTATCAATTTTTCTCCACGAACCACTTTTCAGCGCAAGAATTTCACTAGTACTTTGCGACCATTCTCTTTCTTCTCGTCAACCTTAAGAATCTTATAGTCACCGCTAGTTGAGTCATAACCCAATCCCAAACAAGAAACTCCCTTCGGTGGAAATTCTGGATCAGGAAGTACTATTGATTCTCCTGTCGAGGGGTTCCATAGCACAAGTATGTGGTGTTCATCAACAGTATTATCACAAACCTCAATAATAACCAAGCCATCATAACAACAAGAGATTGAGCAATACCACAATTAAGAGTCTGAAGGGCAATCAAGTTTTCGTACATCCTCAACCCGTTGAACCAACGTTAATGGACAACAGCATACGGAATATATACCATCCCCAGGGCACAACTGGCAAATGAGAAATTTTTGGGAATTTTCATCATTCTTGGCATGATTGAGATGCGTCATCTTAAAGTAAGGCCCGGAGATCAATGTTTTCCAAAAATTCGAAACACATTTGAATCGAAGAAGAGACTGCACAGATAACCTGCTAAGGATGTCCATAAGTATTTCCTCTTGAAAGTGAACTTCCATTGCCTGGATAGAACAAGAAAGTGCTATCAGTCAATTTATTTTTAAAGTATTCAAATAATAGACAAATTCAGTTATTTACCAAGAGTTTAGAAACACCGCAACCATGTTCAGCTAAAATTTCTCACGATGTCTAAGATATTTTACCAATTTAAGTCTAAATTAAACATGGAAAATACACCTTTTAGCCATAACAATTATCTTATTGATTCCCGGGGCGGTGGCATTCTTGAATGAAGTCTATCCGAACCGAATTAGCACTTCTCAAATCAGGCTAGGCCTCTCCAGCTGAGCTGGGCGCCGGGGCCTTGGATGCGCTAGCGATTGGCACATAGGGGAATGGTTGCCCGAGTTTCTCGGCCTGATATCCTGCACCTCGCGTTCATGATATCTACATTCAAAATCTAAGTCCAACCAACAAACCTCGATAAATAAACTCAATTGTTACACCCTGAACTAACCTGATCAACAATATTTCAAACTCATTATATTTTTAAAGTTAAGGGGTTTATATCTACTATTTTTTTTGCAATTTTAGTGAATTTTTACACTTAGATATATACCCCCGCGCCAAAAGTACTATGAATGGAGGCAAAAAAGAGAAATAAATCTTCTTATCCGCCTAAATCTTGGTGGGCAAAGTTAGAGGTCGTTTGGTTGGAAAGAAGTTATCCTAGGATTAATTATCCCGGGATTAATTATCCCGAGATTAGTTATTCCACCTTTTCATGGGGATATAAAAACACTACAATCTCGGGATAACTAATCCCAAAATTAATTATACCACAATTTTCTCCCAGTCAAACGTGGGATAAGCTCTTCTTAAATTTAGTCCCGGGATTAATTACTCCGTATCCCTCGTACCAAACGAGCCCTTAAGGTGTAAAACATGGAGGAAGTTTTTGCCCAGACTTTTTATATGTATTATGAAATTTACTGAATATTTATAAATATTTAAATGTGAATCCAGTTATTACTGCATATTAACTTAAGATAACTATAGAAACCATAAACTTCAAATCTTAAATCCGATTCTGCGTAAAAGTTGACTCAAACACCACTATTGTTACAAAAAAAAAAAACATAAATACCTTTGCGAATATGATTGAGAGGTACTGATTTCTTCTTCTGTTGGGGATTTGCCCTTTGTGTCCTATTTGGAGAATTTGAATGGTAGGGTTTATCTTCTTCTCCTATTTTAGCTTTGATTGAAAAGTTTCGTCTTTTTTGGAGCTTTATTTGAACGCTGTGTTATTTTTATATTGCCCAAGGAGTGCGCGGTTAGGCCGGTTCAAGTTGTTTTTTCCTTTTAACTTTTTTTTTCTTTTTTAGTTTTGATATGATTGGTAATTTCTTTTTTCCCTTTTAGCCAATGGTATTTTATTATTCGAACTCTAAAATCATTGGCATAACAATAGTTCAACTATCTAATATTTGTGTTAATTTCAGTTTCTTAACTTTTAATAAGAAATAAAAATTTGTTTGTTCAAAATATGTAAAGGATCAAAATCAAAAAGGTTTTTTGTTTTCTTTGAAATAAAATTCAATAGAAATGTGTTCAAAACATATTAAAAATGTTCTCTCTTTTTCTTTCAAAATTCTTCAAAAAGCATTTCCTTTTGTGATTTTTGTCAATAAATTATGTAAACTCAAGAAAACATAATTATCACTTATTAAAAAAAGATAAGATGAAACTATATATATATATATAGAAGATTTGAAAGAAAAGGTGTAAAAATTGAATGTTAACAGTAAGTCGATAAAAGCATTATCAATGAACAATAGTAAATAAGTATACCTAAAATGAATAAATCAGTTTGTGTCTTAGCTATAAATGGAATTTGTTCCATTTCACTTTACCACATTCATGAACATTACACCATCCCAAAAAGAAAAAAGAAGAGGAAAAGAATGGAGAGAATAATTGAACCAAATTAATACTCCTGTCCTGTACCATCATCGTAAACAAATGAATCAACAATTATTGGAGTGCATTAATCTATACTAAATCAAATTAGAAATTATTACAGGGGCCATGAACCATGATTTCCCGTCCTAAACACAATCCAATAACTATAAGATCGAGAAAAATTATTTCATATATGGTTGCAATAGGCAACTGACCAAGTAAAAATGAACTGTTTCTAAGAAACTTATAAGCTTTGACAAAATGACTCATTCTGCAGCTTTAAGGCATATAAAATGCATACACGAAAAAAGGGATGTATAATATTTTTGTCACTCCTCGTAACAAGATTTTCCTGATAACATGGAAGAATGTAAAAGCGAAATCTGTCGCTTGAAGATCGATATACAGCTTTATGAACCTAGAAATTTGATTAGGTAAATGTCAGAAAGAGGAAATACCACTCTAAAAGAACTTGTTTCGTATAGGATAGAATTAACTTACTAATGCTTCCCGTCATGGAATTGTGCATTTTTTGATGACTTGAAAGTTTCTAAAAATTGTTTTCCCTTCTGCAACTCTTGTTTCTGCCTAGACCTGTTCCATTTGTGCTCTGCAGCCAGTATCTCTATTATTCGTGGCAGTGCTCGCTGTGCAGCATCAGTGTCGAGGAAGGCAAGACGACATCTTCTAGCTACAAAATCTACAGCGGATTCACAGTACTCTTCCCGAGCACAGTAGGCAACCTCAGCTTCCAAGAAAGGGTATCCATGTGCCAGTCGTTTTCCCAAATTTTCGTTCTATCATGCAGATCAATCAATTAAGCTGGAATCTCATAGAANGCAGATCAATCAATTAAGATGGAATCTCATAGAAGTAGTCATGAAAATGCCAGAAAATAACCTCCTCACAAATTGACTTTGAAGTGAAACATTAAGGAGCCAATTGAACAACTTTAGTATAAAGTACTTTGAGAAACTCTTGTCGGAAAAAATTGTGCAAAAAGAAAATGTGCTTGGAAAGTCGTACTTTTATGAACATTTTCTGAGCGTTGTGCGAGTAGAAAAGAACCTTTTTCTTTGAAAGACGCTCAAACCTTTTTTTTTTCTTTCAATAGCTTCTTGGAAAAACTTAAATAAAAAAGTACTTTGGAAAACTCTTTTGCATGATTATAAATCTTCCATGACAAATACCTTGTAAAGATCTTGAAATCATACCGAGGGGCTGTGAAATCGTGTTCGTTTTCCTAAAGTATTTTCAAAATTCTGCTTGACACATGATTGACAAGAGCTATAAAGACAGAATGTCTAATCGACCTTGCATTTATCATGCATCCGATTCAACAAGTTCTAGTACCTACTGACAGTACAAGATTCTCAAAACAGCAAAAGTTCTTATTCCAGAGTGATACTGCCATGACTCTTTCATAACATAGGAAGCTTCAAAAATCAAAATTTACTCCATATGCAAGTGTTGTTGAGAATGAATTTTAATTCAAAGTTGATATGCTCCTCTCCAAAGAATGAACTAGTGTCTAAATCAGCAAGCATGTTATTGCCTAACACCTTTTATGTTTAGTTTTGTCCTCTTCATGTATTATAGAGTAGTTTGTATTGCGATGAACTACCTTAAGAAGCACTTAACATAAAATGATTAAGGTCAGTATAAAGATATATACCCAAAGAGCCAGCAGAAAAAGGAACAGTTGGAACTAAGAAGAACGCGGACCTGAGCTATAGCAGCCACTCGTTCAGACAAAACACCATATGCATGAGATAGATGTTTAGCAGCAGCGGTGTCCATCACTCCTGGAACAACCTTTCCTCCATGTGACCTTTTCATGCGGACATACTGTTGAGCAAGTATCGTAAAAGATGCAGGTTCCCATCCATCTGCACCTATAAGTTGTAGGTTGTATGTCAAGCATTTATTCGCTGGGTTCAATTTTCCAGATTTTATAGCCGCATCAACCGCATCTTCTGCCATGCTGAAATGGGTTAAACCTTCAAAATCTTAACAATGGAGAAAAAGAACTTAAGCAATGGACATTCACAAGATAAGCAGATCTTGGACCGACAACCTTGTAAACTTGCATATTGATCTATGATTTAAGCCGTTTAAAGGAAAGCTCCAAAGATAAAGGAGTATCAAAGACTCAAACAGTGAGCTAACCTTGTCAGCCTTGAAGAGAAAGATTAGGAGGTGTTCCATTCTAACTTGCGTTTGGATTAGAAATTTTTGTTGGGGCTCTGCAAGAAATGGATTCTATTTCCTTTTTTTCAGAAAACAGTTTAGTGGTCAGATTCAGTTTTTAGGAAAATGGTTTTGGGTTTGGCCTTTAGATAGTATCACTATAACCACAAAACGTTTTCTGAAGCTTTCACAGGGGTGAATTTTTTAATATATAAAATCAAATTGATTTCCCCAAGATGGTGTAAGAAACTATTAAATTCTATAAATTTATTAAACCACCTAAACACCTTCAAATGTTACAAAACGTATCTCCTAATAGTATATTTTTATTGAAGAATAAACACAAATTTCCAAGTTAAAAGAAAAACACGACTATGGTCCAAATCGCAATTTGGCTGAAAAGGGGGCACCCAAAAAAGAGGAAGCTGAACCACTGTTCTCGGAACAAAAAACACCCCCTCTGCTTCGTGTATAAAAAGTAGCCTAAGCTGCTTTCCAATTGAACAGAACTGCACCATTACAAAAACAACTTGGGCTTCTTTCTCATCCAAACAGGCCTCTTTCCAATATTGAAATGGATCCGTATCTCTCAAGACAGCTAATACTACAACCATTAGTTGAGATGTATGTTACCTTCTATATGTAGTCCATTTTCCACCGGTAATTGTCACCAAACCAGGATGCTCTTCAGCGACAACATGATCTCTGGAGATGCTCTCTGTACTCTTTGCCTTGGGATCAATTGCTAGAGGGCGGATACCACTCCAAGCAGATAGGACATCAGTACGCCGTACCTAAATTTGAAATCTAGCATCATTCTCCATAAGAAAGAAAGAACGAAATAGGTGACACATAGAACAAGAAAAACCGTATAAACTGGCATTTTGGTTGCCCTCAAGAAAACAGGGAAAATTAACATGCAAATACAGGATGACAAACATGCTCATTGTATTGACAACTTCAACGCTGCTCACTGAAACAAGAAGCTCAAACCTAGGAAAATCCATAAGCTACTGAGAAATTTTGATTCAAGTATTGAGCAAGTCTGTGCAAAGGAAATGTTTCCCTCCCATCAAGAGTGTCACCACATACATAACTGCTAACAAGCCCACTAGTGAAGTTCCTATGTCTCACGGACCAAAAGATGGACCACGTTAACTGCTAAAAAGCTCATGATATGCCCTTTAAATTCATGTCATTCACAAAGTCCTTTTGTCTTCTATCTTTTTTACTTTGTCCTTTTTCTGCTCCTCTCTCTCTCTCTCTCTCTCTCTCTCTCTCTCAATATTTCCCTAGGGTCAGACATTTTCCTCTGGGATTTCTGGGTCCTCACACAATTTGTTGGCTACTATATTCGCTGGAGTTGAGATTAGTCACTAAGTTTTCCCATGTTGTCAATACAATCTTTTAACACATTAAAATATTATTCACAAGTCCTACACACCACTCCGAGGGACTTAAAGCTCAGTTTCAGGAAGAAGTTTTGTTATCAAACAATATAATCAAGAAACCGTCATCCACTGTTTGTAAGTTAACAGTGGAACAAGATTTTGCAAATTACAAAGGAGTCTCTGTTTCTAGTTTCTTTTGGTGTACTCATGAGGTCCCTACTTGTATAGAGGATTGGACCTCCTTTGTTGAGAACCATATTATGGTGTAGTTTCTCTTCTTTTGGTATAAGTATTGTATATGAGATTTCCCCCAATTGTTAATAAAATTATTTACCTTATCAAAAATAAAAAAGTTAACATGGCTTTGATGGATATGCATACGTGCAGCTTGACCACAGCAGTACTACCATCTAATTGTGGAGTTAGCAATTTACCCCAGATAAGAAAGAGGATCTGTATTTGTTTATCAAATACAAATTTGGCAAATAATTCTTTATGCAATATCATTTATATAACAAGAAGATCTTACCACACACTACAGTTACCAGAATCTACTTCAAACTCGTTGGATAGCAAGACTAGATCCCTATTGGAATATATAATAAATGGTCCATGATCTATTCATGGATTCAATACAATATACATCAGACTCTGGCTTAACTGATTGTTTAGTCAGTAATCCAAGATATCACCTGTAGATAATCTACCAAATAGCCGAAAATAGTATATTGAATATCTCCTAGGCATTTACTGGAATAGCTTAAGATGTTTCATTTTCATCCAAAAACTTCAGCTTCTTTACATTGATTTTGTTCAATTAAAATGCACGAAAAGAAATGATGAGATAATAGTTAGCTCAGTGAAAGTGATAGAGGAAAATATAAACCTATATTCCAGATGCCCAATGAAGAATAGCAATTATATAAATAATTGGCTTACAAGGATTTAAATTAGAGGCACTCTATGATATTAAGAGAAGGGAATAAAGATGAGGATTGCTATCATGTTACCGACATCAACACACCTTAACATTAAGATAATCAGAGATGGCATCCAAAATGAATTCAATCTCATTCTCATGAGGTTCTGGCAGCATCGTTATGCTGGTGTTTGAATCAGTAGTACCAGCTACTGTTCTACCCAACCATGGAAGCATAAAAACCACTCGACCATCCTTAGTTTTCGGGACAATTAAGCCCATTCCGTCTGGAGAATAGTAATCAGGAAGTACAACATGAACACCACTACTGGGACAGATCATGGGTTTTGCATCTTTATCAGCCAACTTCCGTACAGCATCACAAAAGGGCCCAGCAGCATTAACAACAACTTTTGCATATGCATCAAACTCCTTACCTGTAAACTTTAACCTAGAGTGAGACCTTAGAGACAGATGAGTAACACACGAACAAAAGGAGCAAACCATAAGAGGTCAAACTGATAAATTGTACTAAAAGCATTTCTAATCGTCTAAAAATTGAACAGTCACACACAGGGACATATATAATTGGGTTGGCAGTGTTCTAAGGACGAGTGATACACCTAAGATATCTTTTCTATTCACCCCTCCCCTTTTTGTCGTCTTGACCAACTTTCTGCTATGTTGAACCAAAACCTAGTCTAGGTCCAAGGAAATGGGAAGCTGAAGTGTCAGCACCTAACTTGTTCACACGTTTATCCATACAGAAAATGTAGTGTTCTTTTTTATCAAGTTGTGCAAGTAAAGCCACTATAAAAAAAAATTCTTTCTCAAATCAGGAAATTAAAAGTATATTTAACAACCTTAATGAGCCATGCAGGATTACAAGGTAACTGTAACCAGTGAACTGAGTAGGAAAACAGATTCTAACTAAAATTCATGAAGTACCTGACAAGTTGTTCCGAATACGTGCACCAATTATTCTACCATCACCCTCATCTTTGAGAAGGGATACAACCTCTGCATGGTTAAGCACTGCTGCACCAGCCAAAGCAGCAGAGCATGCTATTGCAACATTGAGGCGCGAGTCGTTCATTTGTCCATCATAATATACCACAGTTCCCTTCAGAGTTTTATCTTTACCATTTCGTGCAAGGGTAGGAAACAATTCAACAGACTCTTGTGCAGAATAATACCTAGACAAATGCAGTAGGTGTCGCCCCGCGACCAGATCATACATTTTCAGGCCGGCCCAGTAGTAGATCGCTTCAAACCAATCAAAACAAGGAGTCATGCATGGTAAAGCATGACAAAGGTGCGGAGCATTGTCAATGACCTGTTTACGCTCCTCTAGGGCATGGAAAACTAGCTTTAACTGCCCGTAATCTAAGTTGAAAACTGCTTTCTCCAAATAGCGAACTCCTGAAACATGGGTCTCAGGATAAGCAGTTTGCACATCTTAGAAAAAAGAAGGTAACCATGACAAATGAAGGACAGATTCATGGAAATATCTAACTACTAATTCAGAGATGCCTCAATGAAGAAATCAAAAGGGACCCTAAATTCCTCAGTAATGTTATTCACATTATCTGCAGGGTCAAGGGAAATCCATTCTCAAACCACCAAGCATTTAAGGTAGTACAAAGAATAACGAGTTAACCTGTAAGGCAGTCGCTAGCTATACCATTCAAAGCTTAGAGTGGTCTCATAGAAGAGAAAACAAGATAATTTGATATGAGAATCTTAACTCACTGGCCTTTTCTTTGATTTTTTTGCCCTTCCCCAATTCCCTGGTCGAGATGCACCTATTATTTTGGAATTGATAAAAGTTTTAAAGGGCTAATGGCTAACGAAAAGTTGTGAGAGAGACAAAGCACCTATTGCAAATGGTTTTAGAGACAATGTCCCCAGGCTGAGATAAATGTGAAACATTTTATACCGAGCAGTGTCATTTGAAAAGAGTCTTAACTCTTCCTTCATCGTGCCTATCCCAAAGAAAAGCCAGAGGCTAAGGATACATTGGAGTTTTGGCCTATTAGTTTGTTCTGGAGTATATGCAAATTGCAAAGTAACAGCGAATGTATTAGCAATGAGACTTAAAGATGATGGATAATCTCATATCCACATTTTACCCATCGCAGAAAAAAAATCTCATATCCACATTTCAGAATGCCTTTGAAAAAAGAAGAATTTTTTTTTGACGAAATCTGAAAGGAAATAAGCAAGTGGATTTAAGATTAGCGGAGAGTAGGGAGAGTAGGGATAGTCATGCAACTTGGATATCCACAAAGCTAACAAATCATATAATCTAAAAGTTCCTATTGAAGATGTTTGGGAGAATGGTTGAAATAGTTTCATAGATGATTGTGGTTGATCCAGTTACACACTCTGAACATATTTTTGACACCGCCTCGGTAAAATATTGACTAATAAAAATGGCTAATGACTTTGATTTCAGTAGTTCCAAGGAGATGAAAACATCAAGATTAATTCCCTAGGGAAAAAATGGGAGGCATAATCACTTAGATAAAATATTAAGAAATCACGCAACCAAGTAACTACTGAGCATACTAAATTGATGAATTTAGTAATTCTTCTCCTATTGAAACTCTTGAGATTCTAACAATAATAAGAGAAGCTTCCTAATCCTTTCTCATGTACCCTGTCTAATGAGAGATACATATGTATCCAAGCTCCAAAGCCAACATTACAAAGAAATTTCAGTTGGATATTTTTTTTGATATTACTGTATAATTATCTCACAAAGTCTTTCTCTTCAGTCCAAATTTGCCTTACGTTGCCAACTCAGACGCACAACAATAGATGCCTCGAGTAACAATGTTCCTAACATCAAGACCCCTCCTCCTCAAGGATGGCTCCCAGAATTTCTAGAAAAATAGACAAAAATACTCTCCAAGAAAGTTTTCATAAAGACATAAATCATACTAAATCAACTTTTGAGATTTCACTTTAAACGTAGTTATTAGCAGTATTGTCAAAGGCGAAAAGCTCTACAAAGCGCTCTAGGTCTATTGAGGCTTTAAGCGCACTTAAAGTGAGGGCTTCATAAAAAAAAGGCACAATGAAAGAAAAAAAATAAAAATATATTTGTAATTCAAGAACAAAGTAACAAAATCATTTATAGTGCTTCCCTTAGAACTTGATACACTTATTTTCAATTATATTTGTTGTTTGGTGCCACTTGATTAAACAAAGAACTCGTGGGCAATGAGACGCAAGCCTTAGTGCCTTGCCTTACGTTGAAGCTCAACTTAAGCGAGGCGAAGCGCCCTCCTTGAGCTTTACTGAGCTTCATGGCTTAAGCGCGCCTTAAATGAGCCTTTGACACCACTGATTATTAGCGCCCCAAACAAGAATATATAGTGTAGCACGCAGCAAAGATATGGTGTCCCAAAACTAATGTTGCTTGCCTATTATAAAGATACTACACAAGTTCCAAATTTAAAAGTTCCATCTTCTATATTAGGTTGTCCTGAAATTGTGTCCACTTTCATACAAGGGAAAATGATGATCCACACTCTTCAGTTCTTTTTAATATCTTATTATTATCAAAAAGAGAATTTGTACCCGACTATTATTTTTAAAAATTAATTTTAAAAAGAAAGCTAGCTTTTATTCTCATTTTAATCTATGGACACCACTATTTTTTTCACAAGTATTACCTCATCCCTAAGCTTGAAACTTTTATTTATGAGTTTAAGATCTATGCACTAAAGGTGTAAGACTTTTTTTTATACAATAAGGTCACTTAAAAGATAATTACATATAACTCTATTTAATAGCATTGATTGTTAACCTAGAAAAATTGTAAGTAACCTGCTATAACATGTGTAAAAAGATCATTGTCGGTTTGTACTAATCCCTAAGCTCGAATCACTTTTATTTATTTATTTATAACTGACTAAAAAATGACTACGCGTTAGCCAATATTCCAATAGCTAGGTATTGTGGACATCATATAGGAAATAAAAGCTGGTATCTCAATCACAATTCAGTTCCCATCAACTATATGAATCCCCTATATCCATAAGCAGATTCCTCGTAACTGAATTAACTTAAGCCTGGTATACCATATCGGTAAGTTTTTGCCTGCACGTAGCGTTTACACCAAATCAAGCAATTTAACCATAGCAATTAAAATTAAAGTGAGAATATGCATCACTTAAGCATGATGACTTTAAGAAAGACACGTGTTATGAATTCGTTGGATTGACATAAACACTGGATGCCTACACATCAAAATTGATGAAATTTTAAAGGCTAACCTCCATGAATTAACTTAGTGGACCTTGAAGAAGTGCCAGAAGAAAAATCATCTCGTTCGACAAGGCCAACACGGAGCCCACGCGTTGCAGCATCAAGTGCGACACCGCAGCCGGTGGCACCGCCACCGACAACAAGGATGTCGAGAGGATTTGACAAGCTGGAGCCGATCAGAGCCGCTTCCTGAGTGGCTCGAGACGGAACTACGGCGAAAGGATCAGCAATTTTCCGGCGGAAGGTGTCGAGTGCAGTGGACTTGTCGCCGCGGTCGTTTGATGAGAATGAAGGATTCCGTACAATTGTGTATGCTCCACCGGCTACGACGGCGATAGCGCCGAGACGACGGAGGCGAATGGAGGTGGCCATACGGTGGTGTAGAGGTGACGAGTATGGAGTGACCCGAAGATGGAGCTGAGATTCTGAAGATTGAATTGCTTTGCATTTTAAAAGGTCGCATTGGGAATCGAAAAATGGTATGTGCACCCTCTCAAATGACTAGAATACCCTTTTACGTAAAGTCTCGTGCTATTTTTTTTTTTTTCCTTCTGAATTTTTTAAATATTTGCCCATTTTTTAAGGGTAGAGATAATGTGAGTGGAATACATATCTATGTGCGTTTTAAAGCTTCAATTACTTATGGTTGGGGCGATAATTATAGCAAACTTAAGAATGATAAATATCCCACCTACAAAGAGTAATTCAAAGGAATTAATAATTTTTCATATTCTTCTATAGGTTTAAGTAATAGAATTCTCGTAAGAGATACAAAATGCTAATAGGATAATGTACTAAATGATATTTAGCATGAATTTATGAGTTTACTCCGTCCAACAAAATAATATATTTGTAAATCTTATTGTAATATATATATAGTATATATTTGTTGTGCATATTAAACTTATTAACATGTGAAAAATCAGTTGTAAATTTATTTTGCAAAATTTCTTTGCACTTTAACTTTGTGGTTTGAGACTTTGAGTTGAACACTTTAAACTTGATGGTCTTTTAATATCTAAATCTTTTTCATTGTCTTATTTACCTCAAAATATAGCTTTTATGGCTATGTTAACCGTTAAGTAAAGTTTTTTATAAAAAGAAATGGCAAAAATTCACAATGATGGACCAATTTTGTCATTATGTAGTGGAATAAGGACATAAAAGTAATTAAAATAGTGGGTCAACTCTTTCCACGGCTGCCGCGCAGAAGAAGCATGGGCTCGTGACACGCCCACACACTTTTTATTAGCGCTAACAAACATATTGCTAACTGTTTCCCAAATTCTTCTACTTTTGAATTTTCAACCTCGTAGTTTGAATTAATGCCTTTCCGCCCCCAACTCAAGTTTCTTGTGATCCTATTCAATTCATTGATTCAACAAAATTACTTGTTTCAACTTGCTTCAAATTACTTGTTCCATTTTTGCTTTTATGGACGGATTTCCATTCAAATAGATGTAAGTGGTAACCATGACTGTACTTCTTTATGCTGATTTTCGATGAACTTTTTTATAATTAGTGGTGTCGAGTTAGTTTGTGCGCACCTCTATTAATTCCACGGGATGCTTATCACTTAGTGTGTTTTGTCTCCGCTGGAATTTGAACCTGAGACATCATGGTTCTTTATGCTGATTTTGATGATTTTTTTTTTTAATAACTGTGGTGTCCGAGTCACCTTGTGCGCACCTCGACTAATTCCACGTAATGCCTATCACCTAGTATTTTTGTCTCCGCTAGAATTTGAATCTAAGACCTCATAGTTCTTTATGCTGATTTTCGATGATTTTTTTTATAACCGTGGTGTCCGAGTTAGCTTGTGCGCACCTCGACTAAATTCCACGAGATGCCTATCACCTATTAATATTTTTGTCTCCGCTAGAATTTGAATCTGAAACCTCATGGTTCTCAACCCACTTTATTGACCACTAAATCACACCCTTGGGTGCATAATTACGGGGATGATGAACAAAGATTATCAAAAAGATTAACCCAACTGAGTTGGTTTAGAGAAGATCAAGGGTTGAATTTCAACCACAAGTCAATTTAGACAGCACAAAATTAAGTTTTGACTTCAGTGCTGTGTAGCAAATGAAACAAAAATAATCTTGTTACTTTTAAGCTATAGCGAGTAAAGTTCAGTGATTATACTGTTATAATGCACAAGATTCAGCTATATTAACAGGACAAAAAAGTTTTGTAACTTCATTGTTATAATATATTAAAATACATAATAATATAAGAAAATTTTACACTGTCGGTCTAACGATTTTTTTTATACTACCAGTAGATTTTGACATGTTATAACAAGTTATTAACTACATTTTATGTTAACAGATTAATATGCTATGTATAACTTACATGTTGTAAGTAATCTTAACTAAAAAATTTGTTCAATCAGTGCACAGAAGTTAAACTAAAAAATAAACAAGGATTGGAGCTGGTTACCGAGTGTCAAAGCTTCTTTTCTAAGGCCAGCTCATTGCACTAAGCTCTTGCTATGCGCAGGGTCCGGGGAAGGGCTAGACCACAAGGGTCTATTTTATGCAGTCTTACCCTGCATTTCTGCAAGAGACTATTTTCACGGCTTAAACCCGTGACCTCTTGGTCACATGGCAGCAACTTTACCAGTGGCTCCCTTCTCAAGCTTCTTTTCTGATTCCAATAATCCTTAGCAACCTGAAATGGTAGAGTAGTGTGTAACACTTCGTAATGGATTGAACACCAACAACAACACACTTTCTCTTCATTTCTCATATTCAAAAGTGGAAATTACAGTGCTTACTTAATCAAAAACTATAAAGAAAGTATAAACAACAAGTTTATACATCTACAAACACTGATTTGAAAAATAACTCATTGCCCCTGGATCAAGCTGTCAAAAAGAAGATGAAAACATACATATAGAGGTACAGTTTTATATTTTTGTACATACGTAGACACAGTCGTGTAATTACTGGATCGTCTGACCTCAGTTCTCAGGTTGAATTTATCCTTCACTGCTCAATCTAGGTGTCATGAATCAACTGCATCAACTCGTTGGAGAAGTTCCAAAACACTTCCGGCTTTTCTTTTGGCTCTATCAGTGCCATTCTCGGACAGTTCCTTCAGTACCTCTTCTACTCCAAGATCCCTAGCTACCTTTAAGTTCTGTACATCACCTGTACATAGAGACCACAAAATAGCTGCAGCATTTTCTCGGTTCCGAGGAGAACCTGTCCTAATTACCTCAACTAAGATGGGGATTGGCTCAGCTTGACCAATGGCTGCCTTACCCTCCTGATGACTTGCAAGTATTGCCAATATTGCGAGTGCTTCATCCATCATTCCACCCCCGGGATCTTTGAGCAATCTCATTAGCGGTGGCACAATCCCTGCCCGTACTGCCCTCACCTTGTTTCCTTGATAGATTGAGAGGTTGAATATAGCAGTGGCTGCATCCTTCTTTCCCCTGGGAGTTCCCTGACAAAGCAAATCAATAAGCGCTGGGATAGCACCGGCGGCTCCTATTGCCACTTTGTTTTCGTCAACCACTGATAAGCTAAAAAGGGTAGCGGCTGCATTTTCCCTTGCTTCCATGCTTCCGTTTCTTAGTACATCTACTATATCAGGTATAGCACCAGCATTTACAATAGTTCCCTTGTTAGATTCATTTATGGATAGGTTAAGGAGTGCCGTGACAGCGTGCTCCTGAGTACGAGAATCTGACGATGAAAGCAGTTCAACAAGCAGAGGAATTGCTCCGGCTTCAGCAATGCAGACTCTGTTATCAGCATTTCTTTTGGCCAGCAAACGGAGCTCACCAGCAGCTGCTCTTTGCTGTTCCGGATTACCATTGGCAAGTTTTTGTAACAACGCATCAATAGCAGCACGATCACAGTCCGAACCACCAGCTCCAGACCTTTTGTTCCTACAATTTCCTTGGTTTTTAGGCAGCTCAACACCATTGTTCTCACACCACAAGGCAATCAGGCTCTTCAAAACATAGTTTGGAGTCAATGCGGTGTGCAACAATGTCTGCTGAGTCTTAGGGCAGGTCTTGTGTCCTGCATCCAGCCATTTCTGGATGCAAGACCTTTCATAGGTCTGCACGTGAAAGAAAATCAGACAGCAGTTAATCTAAGCAAGTAATACGAGGAGCAATTAATTTAGTCCTATAATTCGTCAAGGTAAAATGAACATTAAGAAAATAAAGGCACTAAACCTGTCCGGTAGACACAATAACAGGATCTTTCATCAACTCAAGTGATATTGGACAACGAAAATCATCTGGAATGACCGGAGATCTGTGCTTAATCATACTCTTGTCACCCTCAAGGACATCCATTTCAGGATTCCCCGTCATTGCGCAGTCCTTTAGCTTTCTAAGGAGGAATGCAATCGTTTCAAAGCACTCTTCGGGAACTCCACCACTAGAAATGACCATGTCATGGATGGCAAGTGACTCCTTCTTTAGATCATTTACGGTCCTGAGATGCAGCTTCTCTGACAGCCGTTTAAAAATCATGGAATCGGGATCTTGTTCCCTTTCAGCCATAGCTAAATCGATTACCAGTTGCACATCTGGTGATTCCATCTTTCCTTTTGCTCTTTTAAATTGAGCATGCACAAGTTCAATCTATAAGAAACCAACATTATAAAGATTTTCAGTAAAGCAGAACAGACATTGGGCATAACTATTAAAAGGATTGGTAGATGAAGTACTTGTTCTCGAACTTCCTCAGAAATATCAAGCTTGTTGTAAGGAATGTGGCTTAGTGCATCTTCAATTTTCTCTGTTACATTAAGAAACCTTAGTGATATGGTGTCCATCTGCAGAGCCTGCAATATGCAAAGCACAGGTGACATTTAGGAAATATGAAGCAAGAGACAATGTCTTTCATGATGATAATACGTAGCAGCAAGACACAACGAGCTTTGATTATACTGCACAAAAGTCATCCTCGATGCAGAGTGTAAAACTACAGCAGAGAGCAACTACATAAGATTCATTTGACCCCTGAATTATGGAAGTAGAGATCGGATACATATCTATACTAACAACTGCTTGGTGCAACATTCGACATCTTAAGAGAACCACAACTATTTGAATCAAATTAGGTTCACACGGATGAAACTTTACCAAGGCAGGCATAGATCATTGATTTGAATCTCACTGCCACCTGTCAACAAAAATATTTCCTCATACTCGGGCAAAGGAAAAAAAATAGGCCAACACGTGAGGAGGTGTGTCAAAGACCAAAATAAATAATGGAAGTGTTTCCTACCACTTTAATCTTTTACATTTTCACGCAATTCAACAACAACTAACCATTGTTAGCTGAGAAAATTCAAGTATCAGATGTCCTAATAAAATGAATCTTCCCTATGAGAGATCCTAGGAACAGTTTGTTCTATTTAAAGCTCATAGAATACAGTACTCTACAAAAGCTTCAACTTACAAGGAAAGATCCAATGTTTCAAGCCACGGCTGTCATGATGAATCTACCAAAAGAAAGATGGAAACACAACTATATGAAGATGAGAAGTAGCCCAAAACAAACTATGTAATTGTTTAGAGGTCCAAAAAAAACTATATGTGAAGTAGTTCTTATATATGATTCAACTTTGTCCTGGTTGACAAATATGTAGGACAGTTACCGACCAAACTAAAGCTAAATTTCACCACAGAGAGAACAAGGAAAGAGTTGAATATCACATTGATCTTTCCAGCAGCCACACAATCAGCAAAACATAGTAGTTCAAAAAATTGATTGTTCCTATATTTACATGCAAAAATTGATTACTTCTAATACTTTGACATTTACCAAACAAAGCAAAATCGTCATAGATCATGTAACATTTAAAGATTAAATTAGAAAACAATACCTGAAAAATCTTACTGCCTTCATTGACAGATTTGAGAAGCTCCAAAGCTGAATTAAGAGCAATTCTCAACAACTCAAGCCCATGAACCACATCATCTCCAACCTCAACAACATCACTATCTTTCATTTCCTCAACTAAAGGGCTCAATAGCTTCACCCTTCTCACCAAATTACTGTACATCCTCTTAGACACATTCTTGCACTCCGGCAAACCCGAAACGGTGTCGATTAACTCCGTCAGCTCATTGATTAAGGCCTCTTTCTCATGATCCATGTGTGCACCTCCAACAAACCCCTTATAGAAAATGGATTCTTTAATCAAATTGGGAAAACCCCGGTTGGAAAAATTGAGTCTTTAATAAAATTGAGGAAAACCCCAGTTGGAAAAATTGAATCTTTGATAAAATTGGGAGAACCCCAGCTGAAAAAATTGAATCTTTAATCAAATTGGGAAAACCCCAGTTAGAAAAATGGAATCTTTAATCAAATTGGGAGAGACCCAGTTGGAAAAAGAGCAATAATTTGGCAAATCTTTTCTGAGTTGGTGGTTGGTGGTTGAGTTGACTGGGGAAATTACAACTGATCTTCACTAATTTTTTGGGGGAAAATTTTGAGAAAAGCCATGAGGTTTTGGGTTCTTGAGATAATTTTAAGAAGAGCCAGCTCAAACAATTGATTGAATTTCAGGAATGAAGAGAGAAATTCAAAGCTCTGTGTGAACATACAAAGGAAACTGAGCAGGTGAAGCAAAAGATGAAATGACTATTGATTGGTGGAGTTTCCGCTTAATCATTTTAAAAGGAGTTATTATTAATACTAGTATATTTTTCGGGGTAGATTTGACAGATATAGTCATGATTATGAAAACTAATAATAATGAGAGTAATAGTACAACTAAGCGGTTTGTCCAATAATCAATGACTTTTTTATCTTTTTTATTTTGGTTGAGAATAAGTATTTTTTTACATTATCAATACTGCATTAACTTTATTTTTCAAAAACTTACCTTTGTTTATATATTTCAAGGTGTCAAGTTAACAATATATAGATTTTAATTAAAGATAATTTAGTCAAGATACATTTTTTTCTCTGTGAATTAGTATTTTTTTAAAGGATATGTCAAAAGTCAAAAAATCACTTATTATTGGATTGGAGAAAATAAAATACAGTGGATTACTGTAATGTGTGAATTGGCAATTTAAAAAGTGAGGAAGAGGGAAAATACAGGTATGGTCAATCTCAACATAAGGTAAATTTGTATTAGCTGTTCTTTTTGGACAATACCGCCCTTCTAACATTTCTGGTCTTTTTAGGGGGCAATAAGAAGTTGAAGTTGCATTGGAAATATGTTGGAATAGGTCCACATTACATTAAACCAAATCAAAGAGTAAATAACTTGTCTCACATGATACTATGTACCTTATCCAGGAAAAAATAAATAGAATATGATTATATTAACATTCGTTTGTAAGGAAAATATTGTTCACAAAATTGATGATGGTTAGGATACTTACTAGTAAAACATTTCACTACATGCATCATGCTTGAATCAAAGAAAAAAACCCCAAAAGGATCTTGTTACACATATAATGTACATATATTTTTATTATTAAACCCCGATTAGTTTACATGCTCTGTGACAACCATTGTACTTGTTTAACCAAAAATCCGATTCTTTGATCAAAGCTAGAAATAAAGAGAAATTCGGGTTACTGATAATCTGGAGACGAAAATAATAGAAGATTTCTGAGAATAAGTAGTTTTGTATTTTAGTATAATCTCGATAATATTTCGTGTCTACAGATGTTGAGTCCTTCTCCTTTTATAGTTGATTCTAGGAGAAGATGTAATGCCTTTGTCTTAATGAGGCAATTATGAGCAATAAATGACATTAAAAGAAACGTTACACAATCATTTCTATTTAATTCAAATATTCTAACGTATTTGATATTTAATGTTGTATCTAGACTCTTTTACGTCATCAGATTCGTATCTTCAACGTCTTCCGATCTTCGGTCTTTAAATGACTCTCGTACCTATTTGAGTAACGGTCCACACCTATGTTGTTTTCTTCCCCCTATCTGTTGTCTCCCGTGCCTCTTGGCTATTTATTGCGTTTTGACCTTTTGACCAGTCCATGTGTCATGACACGTCATCTTCAATATTCAGACTCAGTTTTTTCCCAATACAGATAGTCCCCCCACTTTCCATTTATTTATCAATTAAATATTTGGGAAGTGGATCTTCACGAAAAATGAATTTTCACCGTAATCAATACTATGTCAGTACTGATGCTTCAGTTGTCTTTTCTATTTAATGCTCTGCACACGTGTCACCTTCTGATTGGCTTTGTAATTCTACAGCCTTTTTTTCAAAGCTTCTTCATCCCCTCTATTCACGAAGTGATAGTTGCCTTTATTATAGGTTTTCCATCATTACACTTCTTTGTTTGATGATTGCTATTATTTACATATTTAACCTTCTTTTCCTTTAGTTCATCCTTTCTCTGTAATGGCGTCTCCGAATCCTAACCCTAAGAGAATCCCAATTCTTGATAGCTTTCCCAACGCCCCTGTAAGACATAGAAGGGGTAGAGGTGGCAGGCTTCGTAGCCTAGGATCCATTCGTGGTGGTTCCTCTGGTTCCATCACTCCTTCTTCTAGTTTTGGCACTATTTCTAGATGTTCTATTACTAAGAAATCCTCTTCTAAAGGTAAAGAACTTTCTGAGCCTCTTCAAGAGCCTTTAGTTGAGGAAATAGTACCCAATGACTTATCCTTTGAGAATGATAGAAAATCTCTTCGTGAACAAGTTGTTAATTTAGAGAAAGCTGACACTTTTCCTTCTCTAATCACTGAACCTTTGATTTCTATTGTTCGAAAAGATTGCAACTGGAGAAGTGATCTTCGTATAGTGATCCCTAATCCAAACCAGAGAATATCTTCTTTTAGGATTGAATTTTCTTTTGTTTATACTTACCCCTTCACTTTGGGATTTATTCCTGCTATTGACCCAGTTATACTTGATTTCTGTCGCTTTTTCAAAATTTGTTTGGGACAAATTGGCCCCCTTGTATGGAGAGCAGTGGCTTGTTTGAGGTACTTGTCTGTAAAAGCCAATGTTAGCTTTACCTTCCCCCACCTTATTCATCTTTACCACCCCAAATTATTCCGCCATGGGGTTTTTACTTTAACTGCAAGAAGTAAAAGGGTCTTGGTAAGCCCTGAAGATGACAAGGATCGTGGGTGGTACACTCGTTATGTTGCTGTACGCACAGTTGATTTGGTGGGTGAAACAAATATCCCCTTCCCTAAGAAGTGGAACTTTGCACGTAAGTTTTTTTTTACTTACCGTACCTATCTTTAAGAATTTCAATTTCTTTTATAATTTTATTTCTTTTTGCTTTTCTGTAGCAACTATGGGAGATGTGGAACCCGTTCCTAATATTCGTGGTTGGGTAGATTCAATCTTGAAAGTCGTGCCTATGGAGGCAAGAACTTGGAAATCCATTTCCAATTTACATGGTTGGAAAGTGAAAACTCACGGTATGCATCTCTTTATGCTTTTTCGTATGTTAAGTCCTTTCTTGTTTCTAACTTTTTTCATCCTTTTTTTTGTCAAGATTTGCTATTCGAGGAATGACAGCTGAAGTAGCTATTGCCCTTCGAGCCTCTTCTGGTACGTCACTCTCTTTGGAGAGAACTCAAGCTACGCTATCAAATAGGAAAGTTGTAGAAGAGGATTCTGAGAATGATGAAGATGGAGACACCTCTTTAATAGCTAGACCAAGAGTTAGGAGACGCATCGTTTTTGAGGATGAAGCTGTAGTTACCCCTGTTCGTGCCTCTCTAAACAAACCTGTTCACATTCCTTTTGATGATGAAACCACTCCGAGGGACACCAATGAGTCTATTCAACGTCTCTTTGTTGGTGGTTTTGAAAGTGGAGAACTAGGTCCAGTTTTAGATGAAGTTCCTTTTTCTTCCTCTGTTCCCATTCCTTCTATTCCTCCGCTGGTTTCAAGTGCTTCCTCGCCCGTTCTATATGTTCCTGATCCCTTATCTATTTCTGCTCCCTTGCCTGTCTCTACTCCCTTACCTGTTTTGAGTCCTTTGACTCCTGTTATTTTCACTTCTTCTACCGCTCCTCCTTCTATAGCTCCCCCTCCCTCTGTTCAACATGTAGAGG